CAGCTCTCTCCCTCCACAGGGCAGCAACCCCTCACCTGCCCATGACCTGAACCATGCTGGCGCATCTCTGCACTGACCTCCTTAGAAGAGGCAGGACTCCTCAAGGCCACCTGTGTAACCATGCGCACTTCTCTCTTAGCAAACCTGTCTTTTTCAGAGCAGCTCTTCCTGCCCACTTGCTTCTATGTATGTGTCCTTCTCTTTTCTATCTCTTTTCTAATAAACCTGTTCCTTAAATATATCTAATGTCTCTGTGCTGTGGAAAGACTCACCATGTGCCGATAAAAGAGGAGCACTAGAGAAACCTTTCCTAGAGTGAACCCAAGAGCCACTGCCCCCAACCTTGCACTCAACCTACCAACTCCAAAAAACATCATCAACATCAATTTCATTACTACAAGTCCATAACTTAGGGAGAAAACCAAAACATGCCTTGGACATCAGAGACCAGGACAAACTGCACAGAAGGGACAAGGAAGAGATTCATGCTTCATTAAAGAGGTAGATAGAGGGCCCTCCCTGGTGGCGCAGCGGGTTAAAGCACAGCACTGGGAAGCTTAAGCCACTCTGCATGAGTTCGATCCCCGCCTGCCCCAGAGGTGACCACGTGGTGTGGCAGATCCCCTCCTGACCCACCCGCTGCTCCCCTCAGCAGTGTACTTCGACGATCTGCCTGTTCTGCTCCCCACTCTGTCTCTAGTGAATCTTCTCACCTTCCGCATCTCTGGCCTGTACCCCAGTTCTGTATGAATAAATTAATCTTTAAAAAAATGATAAAAACAAGAGCAGTCAACACATTAAAAAAAAAAAAAAAAGAGGTAGATGGAAAGAAACACCTGGAACTGCATTCTGGGGCAGGGAGGCTGCCATAAAATAACCTCTCACCTCCCCAGAACTGAGAGTAGTGAACAGTATGGAGGTAACGCAAGCCTGACTAAGGGTTAATACTTTTGGAGATACTAGGATATTTCCAGCAGGTCAGGTTCCTAGTGAAAAAAAAAGGAAAGTGATAAAAACTATATTCCTGGGCTTCCTCTGACATACCTACATTATGCCTTAGGGCTGGCACTGACCTTGTGGAATGCACTGACTGCAGACTCTCAGATCTAGAACTCCATAAAAGAGGAATATCAGTGGATCCATAAACAGGAGTCAGGTCCCCACCAGCACATTCACACTAACAATTGTTCCTCTCCAAGCCCCTCCCTCACCTCTGATTCAGCAGTTACAAGATCACATCTCCAGAAGCATAAAAAAAAAAAATCATAAAAACACAGTGCCATATATGAAAAAAAAGAACCCAATGGATTATGGTGGAAAAATATTATGTCTTAGAACTGGATGTGGTAATATATAAATGAAAAGGTATGAACTTATACTTCTGAATCATATAGTGTTATAAACCAATGTTACCTCATAAAAAACAGCCCCCCAAAAAAGGTATCTCGGCTAATAATACAAAATATCAAAGTGCGTAAGATGCAATAAAGATATCTACAAAATTGTGGTGATCAACATATTTGGCTGTGATAATCATTCAGATGACCAAAATATATTTCTCGTGCAGATTTGATCTCTATCCACAGTTTCTAAGTCACAATTCCCTCAAAAGGCTTGGAATTTCCTAAGTGTTAATAGTGATAAAGGTGTCTTGTTAAATCAATGGAAGTAACTTTTGGAAAGCACCTAAAGGTGGGGTCTGGTTGTCAGGGAAACTAACATAACAAATGAAACTTCAGATCCCACACTCTTGCCCTCCAGGAAGGAAGAGCTAAAGGTTGGAGTTCAATTGTCAGTGGTCACTGAGTTAATCAGTCATGTCTATGTAAGAAGCCTCCATAAAAGCCCAGGTGGAAGGCTCTTCAAAATGTTTGCTAGCGAACAAAAGATTAGACAATGGTGCATTTGGGCCCTTCCTGGTGGCTCAGTGTGTTAAAGCACAACAATATGAAGCTCTCCCCAGCTGCTGTAGCTGAAGTTCTAGGAAGGTGAACCACATAGCATGGCAGACCTCTTCTGACATGCCCACTGCTCCCCTCAGCAGTGTATTTCAGTACATCTGCCTGTTCTGCTCCCCACTCTGTCTCCGGTGAAAACTCTCATCCCCTCACCCCCCACACCTCTGGCCTGTACCCCAGCTCATGTATGCATAAATAAATCTATTAGGAAAAAATAAAGAAATAAAATGGTGCTTTTGAGAGGGTACGTAAGCTCCGTGCCTTTTCCCCATACCTCTCTCCCTGTGCATCTCATCCACCTAACTTGATTCATGCCCTTCAGTATCCTCTGTAATAAATTGTGTTCTAGCAAGTATATGGATATCCTGAGTTGTGTGTCAGGCTAAAAAACTGAACATGAGGTATATGTCCTAGATCTGCACACACTGACTAGAAGTAGAGATGATAATGTGGGTTTGTAACATGCACCTGAAGTCTGAGGAGGGAATTACACAGGCCTCCATCTGTGACCAGTATGTCAGAAGCAGAAGGCTGCCTAGGGCTTGAGACCTAGTTTGAGGTAGAGATCAGTCTTAGGTACAATCTTTAAATTGAAACTTGATACTACCTCCAGGTACAGTGTCATAACTGAATTTAATTCTCAAATACCCTGGTAGTGCCAGAAAATTGTAAGTGTGGAGAACCCTCAGCAGCCACACCCCTGCTGGACACTGGGATCCAGGCCACACCAAAATCATCACATCACAGTTTAAATACATTTATTATTGTGGGTGGAGACTTAAAATTGAAAGCTACTCTTCCCATAGCACATTAAGTGGCAATTACTTCACAAAGCACCAGCCTACTTAATGCTATCTTTCAATTTACAGTAAAGCACTTATAATTACTACCATTTATGGATTATTTATCAGGCCCTTAATACAATGGAAAAAGTTTATAAGTACTGCTTCATTTAATACTCCCAATATCCCTTTGAGATTTCTATCATTTTCATTAAAAAACAGGGAAGTCAATTCAGAAAGGATGAGTAATTTAACCACAATCCCACAGTAGTTAAATCTGTAGAAATATGTAATCCAATTCAGTCACTATGACTTCAAAATCTTATTCATTTAGTGAGTATTAAACTAGGTATACATTAAATATAATTTAATGGCCTATTAGTGTAATCTCAAACACTTCAAATTTTTCAGTATTTCACTGACTTGATATTTGTACTTTTTCTTACATTTTCTTTTGCAACTATTGTTGGTGGAGATGGAGTCACTTGCAATGGTTCTCCTGAAGGATCTACTTTTAGTAATCGCATTGACCTTCTACATCCCGTCCCATTTTCTCTCTTCTTAGGCTTCTTTCTAAAGGAGGAAAAAATTCTTGTTATACTAATAAAACAGTTACATGTACTTGCTAATATTAAGGTGATGTCGAAGGATGTATTATCCACTGCATACACACACACTACAAAGTATAAATGTGGCTACAATGTAAAAATCTGCTTCATCATAGATGTTCATCATGGAGATGTAAGAAGTATTAAATTATGATATACTAATCTTTTTATGTAGTCATAAAGAGAATGATATAGATATTTATGTGCTGATATGACATGAACTCTAAGAAGCAAAAAGCAGGGCCTAGTACAAGTTGAATATGCACACTTTTTTTTTTAACAAGAAGTCCACATATGCAGTTATATTTGTACTTGCTGGGATGAAGAATAGGCATAAAACAATGGTTTCTAATAAAAGGCCTGGTCTAAGATATGAAGTAGATGTTAAATGATTCATTGCATTCCTTTCATAGATGGTTTTATTTTTTTAATTCATATAAATCCTACTTTCCTCCTGATGAAGAAATGAAAAATCTAAAGGAAACATTACAAGGCTGAAATCTGACTCACGGCCCTCCCTGGTGGTGCAATGGGTTAGAGCACAGCACTGCAAGGTAGCCGCAGCTGCCTCAGTTAGAGTTCAATTCCCAGACCTTGAGGTGATCCACATCACGAAGCAGACCTCTCCTGTCTCACCAGACACCTCTCCTGTCTCACCAGACACCTCTCCTGTCTCACCAGACACCTCTCCTGTCTCACCAGACACCTCTCCGGCAATGGGTTAAATCTCAGCACTATGAAGCTATAGCAGCCTCTGCAGCTGGAGTTCGATCCCCAGCCAGGGAGCTGACCCACATCACGAAGCAG